GGTCGCTGAGTGCATCGTGTCGACCGATTGGCCGAGGGCGATTTATATTTATATATTTATATATATATCACTATATCGAATCACTATCATAAGAATAATTATAACCTCTTTCTGGGTTCTGTGGTATGCACGGTCGTCGGAAGAAGCCCATTGGCTCTCCGATAATTATCGTTTATCGTTATCATTATCATTGTATCATTATCGATTGGTTACATCACAGACAAAACACGAGTGCGCGTGCGACCCTACGCGCGATCGATGGTACTTCCGTCTAGCTATCTAAATAGAGAGATAACATTGGGATGGGTTAGGTGAGGAGGGGGATAGGGGGAATGAGAGGGGGGGGAGAGGGTCGAGGAAACAGAAAAAAAAATTTTGCCAAAAAAAAAAGGTTACGATGCAGTTCGGGAAACAAAGTAAGTCTAACTCGATAGGTGCTTTCGCAAGACAGTCCCTTGGGGCGTCCTGAAGTGTCATCACCGTCGCCGTCGTCATTCTTCGTGTCGCGATGACGACGACGACGACGACTACGTCGAAGGCCGACAAAAAAAAAATGTTTTCTCTTAACAATCATTCATCCTAACCTAACGCACCGCCCCGGGGGTACGTGCCACGGAGGGTGAGTGTGCGAGTGCCAAAAAAAAAAATTTCGAAAAAAAAAATTCAGACTCGACAAGGGAGCGAAAAAAAAAATGATACTCGTTCCCGCGAAACGATCGCTAAAACCGCCACCCTCCTGATTCCCCAAATACGAAAAAGTAACATGCAATTATATTTTTTGGTTTTCTTTTTTTGTCCAACGAAAAGAGAGGCACAGCCCCCTCTGCCGTCGCGTCTTACACGTCTTTACGTATCTTCGCGACTTCCGGTTGTCTTAAACGTTCGATTGTGCGCGGGGCGTGGGTATGTCTTTTTTCTTGTTTTTTCACCCGTCTAGGATTTTTGAGAATTTTTTTTTTTTTTTTTTTTTTTTTTTTTCAATTCTCGTCGACGTCTCACCGTCGCGGCCGGTTATGAACGTGGTCGGATTTCGTTATGGCTCTGTAACGACGTCGCGACGGCACGTGAAACGACGCGAGACTGAGCGTCGAAATTTTATACGTATTTCTTCTTTTTCGTGGAAATCCAGCGCGATCCGGGTTCGATACGCTTCTTTATTACGAGATGAGTACACACCACGTTTTCAAGTATTTCATGCGCGCCATTCATACGTGTTGATTTACCAGTTTTCCAGGCTGCATTTGCTCGTTGTAGCCGTGCTGGACGTCGTGGATGATTTCCGTTCAGCGCCAGGCGCCGCGCTTCCGGAAAACGGACTAGATCGTTTGTTCATTTCTGTATTGTAAAGAAGAAAAAGAAATAAAAATAATATGTACATTCAAAGTAGTTAAATGCCAACGGTATACCTTGATTAATCAATCGATTCATCACGATACCAATTTCAAATACGATTTACGTACCGGAAATCAAAAGCAATATTTTGCGTCGCGCGCCCCAAGCGGTCACACCAATTTCGCAAAGGTCTTTGTCCGTCAAGGAAGGAAAGGTCGCCATGTCCACCTCGTGAGACGTGAACAGGCCTGACAGCGCAGAAGAAAAGCAAATATGTCGTGCAAATTAGAGACAAAAAGCAGATGTAAGTCGCCAAGCAAAAAAAAAAAAGCAGATCCAATTCAAATAAAAAGAACCACAAAATCACTTGCGGCACGTTCTCATGCGATTCGCGTACCGTTCGATGCAAAAGTCCATTAATAATTCTGTCAACAACTCACGTATATATTTCTCCAGTCCTACGTTGGTCAGCATGCTGGCCAAGTCTGTGTAATGCTGAGATGTGATCTTATTGATTTGTGACGTAGGCGTGTGGTCCAAGTAGTTCGAGCTTATGCCGACCTGAGGCGTCTGATCTTTGTCAGCGCCGATGCCAAAGTCCATCGTTGTACCAAACACAGGAGTCTTTGGTTCCTCCCAGAGATCAGAAGGATGCGAGCTCGAGTCCTGAGTGAAATAAATCGACGATCCAAAAGATAACGACCGTTAGAATTCGTTGAATAAGAAAGATCCTATCGACAATGTCCTCGAACAATTGTTTTCTAGATCATTTTCTTTACCTTGCTGAGATCGCTATTCGTCATCAAGGGAATAGTCTGACTAAGTCCGTAACCGGACCACGAGGAAGTAGGGACCCTGTAGTCGGGCGAATTAAGTTTAGTTTGCATAGCCTTAACCGCCATCAATTTCTTCTGCTCGTAATCAAACGGCGTGAGATTATGATGCGCAGCTGCCATTTGAAGACTCTTCTTCTCGCATCCGGGTGCGCGACGATCGGTCCCCGAGAGATCCGACAGCATGCTAGATAAATCTGCAAGCAAAGACATTTCGTCATGATCGTGTTCTTTGGGAATAAAAATTCTTTATGTAGATGTTTATTAACCCAAAGTGGAAGTGACGTCAGAGGGATTAACTGGTGACGCATTTCGTGGACTGATGGCCGGACTAGAAAGCGAACTTGAAACGCTGCTCAAGGAAGAATAACCTGCGGAGTGAAAAAGATATTAATTAAAAATTAAAAAATGTACTCTACCGGCTCCAAACTGATTATCACTGTTTCTCAAACTGACCACTGCCATCCTTATTGTTGGTGAGTGAACTTGAATTCAGACTGTTCATGCTGTGATAACCGCTGGACGGTCTGGTCTGACTCTGTCCAAGGCCGCTCAAGGTCTGATTCCACGCGCCCTGAGGATGACCCATCAGGTTGTTGTGCATCATCTGTTGGGTGCTTAACATATGATTGAGATGAGGATAGGAGAATGGTCCATGATGATGAACCGGTAGCGGAGAGAACATTGATGGTACCGCAGTCATTCCCCAATGAGGCGACATTCCCATTGGGTTGGGCGAGTTTGACATTGGCGACATACAGTAAGGTAGATTTTGTGTGTTAACCGTCAGCATACTGGAGAAATTTTCTGGTAGACCGGCAACGTTGTTACGACCTGCAACAAGAAGGAAAATGCTCGTTAACGGTTCTTTGTGAAAAAATTGCACGTAATAATTTCGAAACAAACTATTGCACGCGTCATAATAAGACAAATGAGACTAACTAGCACCGTTTATATTGCCGTTGTTGTTACTGCTGTTACCCTGAAACACACTGCCGGCATTAGGAATGTGATAACTATCCGGTATCTCAGCGTGAATTCTCGGTTCGTTCAGACCCAAAAGTTGATTTCTGGCTTCGTAGATGTTACCGGCGTTCCTCTCTATGCCTTTTATTATCACGGAAAATGTGCTCTGCTTTGGCTTGTGTCGGACATTTATAAAGACGTCCAACGACTGCATCAGCTGTGATATGTTCTCGGTATCGACCGAGGGCATCGAGTGCTCGGGCAGATCGAACATCAGAACAAGTGGCAGGGAACCCTGTGCAAAAAAAAATGAAAGAGATTAAGTAAAATTTGGACAAAATTTTATTACATCTTATTTAGAATCCACCCGATCGTACTAAATTTCTCAAAATTACTCTATCGAGAATACGACTCTGACTGTGAACTTGACGTTAGAATTTAAACGGGCTTCTCCGCCTTAGACCGTCCTGACCTCCGTATATAACATCCAGTCGTTTAAGGCTATAAATAAGAAAATTCGACATCTCTCTCTTTTAGATCCAAGATCATCGGGTAAAATTTATCTCGATCGTTTGACGCCTCAAGTGATAAAGACACGATAAGTTGTGACATCAAAAAAAAAAAGAAAAAATCAAACGTAATATTCTTACTCGTTTATCAGTAACTACCATAAATCACTGTATTTACCCTACAGTTAGAGACTTTATGGATACTCGTCAATATCGCCGACTGACAAAAAAATAAATAAATCACTATACAGACATTCGTACAATTGTCAAAGCTTTTTTAACAGACACCATATACCAGGGACATCCAAAATAATTGACAATTAATCGATAAGACAATGAGAACTTTATATAAGAATTTTCCAGTGTTCCAGTGGCCGTCGTTATCCATACGCAGAGACACGTGACGATCCGTCACAATCAACTTACGACCAATTGCTGACGGGCGAGGTAAACGTTATGAATTCCACCGGTGATCGTGACATTGCTCTTCTTCAAACTCGGTATATTCGGATCGCCAGCGTCCGGAAATATAATCTGAGTCGCGGTACATTGCATAATCATCTTGAGGTTGCTGCTCTGTTTCCCAAGGACAATGCTGTGATGCTGGGGCGAAATCTCCATAGACATCTGTACCTGAATCTGACTCTGCAATAGAAACCACAAGGCTTTACCAGACGATCAACAGAGATCTACATCGATGCGCAATAAATCATCAACAACAGTTCAAGAGACTCAATCGATCCGAGATGAACGGGTTTGATAAAAAAAAAAAAAAAAAAAAAAAAAAAAAAAAAAGTCCCAATTCAATCTCGTCCAATTGTATACCCCTGAAACGTTAATTGCATAACCCAAACAAGTGTTGTGAATCTTGAAAAAAAAAAATGCGTAAACATTTGCCTTAATTTTATAAATTCAAAAATCCAAAGAAAAATTCAAAAGCAACCACCGACACTCACAGCCAGGTTCTCGCACATGTAATGAATCAGCAGCACGGTGGCTTCCTTCACTTGTAAGACCTCCCATTCGCAGCCTTTAACCAGCACCAAGGTCGCGTGTAATTTCGGCCGCGTCCTGAACATCACCTGCACGTTGTATTTCTCTTGGATTCGCACCACGTAGGGCGAAGTGGAATCGGGCGGCGCATGCGCAGCTCCCATTACGGGCAATTCGAACGAGAAGATGAGAGGGGTCAGATTCTGAAAATTAAAAATCAAAGAAACATATATTGATAATAAACAGACGTATACCATCCGTTACGTAATCAAATGCAAAGAAGAAAACGTTTTTTTTTTTTTTAAAAAAAGCCAATATACTCACTCGAACCCGACAACGAGCACGCTCGACGCCTTCGATCTCACCAGCAATCGACACCTGATTGCTCTTCTCTTGATGATTGCTGCGATTGCTGTCCGGAAAGTGAATGTGACAGCTGGTCTCCTCCATTACGCGTTTTATGGTCAATCCTCCCTTGCCAATGATATGCGAGTGATCGGTATAACTCACGTCCACCTTCATCGTCACTCTGTTGCTTTGCTGCAGGTAAAAAAAAAAATCATATTAAAAAAAAAAACCCAGCACTCGTCAATAGTCGGGGTGGTTGATTATTTCTTTCAAAAATTTATATATCGACTCCCCACCCCACCCTCCTACGTCTTCGTTATCACGCCGTCATCCGGTCGGCCGACATCGACAAGACTGGTTCACGCAAAAGCAAGAAAAAAAATCTCAAGAAACATCCATCTGCGCGATACGGAGTCGGCGATGATGCTTATGGTAAAAGGGTAAAGCAGACGACTTTTTTTTACTCGTGCAGACATACGCGCGTACGTGTTTATCTACACTTTATTATTAGGCTGGCGATCAGCGTTAAAATTTCGAGACACAATAATTCGTTAAATCTTATCGGCTGCACGGGTGCCCCATTATCTTCGGCAACGGGCAATGTGTACCGTGGGTTAAGATTAGATGGCAATTATTGACCGCCAATCGGCAGCAATGCCTAGGAGGTTATTCACGCGATAGGCAATAGCCGGCAAGTTAAGCTGTCTATTTGGATTGTACGGTAGACCAATGCCTTGGGGTGATGCGCATTTCGTGAATGACCCTATATACATGCACGTATGCAGGAGCCCCCTGAAGTATCGGCGTATCGTAAAAGTATTACGTACGACAATGAGTGACGTCTGCATGATCACCGTGAGGTCGGGCTACGTTTGTAAACCGGTGATCGATAAAGAGATGGAACGACAGAGAAAAAAGAAATCAATGTAAACACGCATAGCGCGATATGAATATGTATTTGCGATTGAGCATGTGATATAGTTAGGTCAGCCGCGTGACGTCATTGTCGTTTAAATGCTCCGACAACAGTGTGCGCGAGTTCAATGTGCAGAGTTTTAAGCGTTCGTTCGTGGGTTACGTAAAGCTTGAGATATTATCGGGACGAGGGGAAGTGGGAGAGGGACGGTGGTGGGGGCAAAAGAGGGAGGGTGGCAAACGGGCAAAGAGCTTTGCGAAAGTGAACGATAGTTGTGGATGCGATTGAAAGATATTTCGTAGACGAGGTAAGGCGATACGGGAATGAGGGAAATAGAGAGAGAGAGAGAGAGAGAGAGAGAGAGAGAGAGAGAGAGAGAGAGGGAGAGAGAGAAGAGAGAGAGAGAGAGAGAGAGAGAGAGAGAGAGAGAGAGAGAGGAGGGGAGGGGAGGGAGGTGGAAAAGAAAGAAAAAGAATAAAGAGACCAAGGTCTTGGAAATCGTCGACGCGTTTTTATTATTATGCGTAGAACGATAATTCGGTCCGATGACCTTGGCTCCTTTCGCGAATCATCAAATTGGCAGATCCGAATCAAGCTGACCCGGGCGAATCGTATCGCGTAATCAAAGACGGTCGAGTTACGGATGCTGAGGATGTTGCGTCATGGCGGATTTGCGAAATCGAAAGTTTTCATCTCGAAATCGAGAGGCGATACGACGAGGATCGTCTTGCGGTCGTAATGTTTTTTTTTTTTTCCTCCAAATCTCAAATAATCGCACGTTCCGACTTTGCGATAAAAAGTATTTGACGATCGATCGGTGGAAAATTTTTTTTTTTCTTTCAAAACCCCGGTTCACGAGATCCCATCTGTTGCGCAGAGCGTCACCGATTGCGATTGCCTGCCGTAACGGGGCGTTACGTAAGAATTGCGGCGACGCCAATCGACGTGTGTTTTAGAAATCTCGACTTCCGTCTGCCACTGCCGGTACTCTAGCCTTTCTATTTGGACGTGTTTGTCATTTTGAAAAAAAAAAAAAAAAAAAAAAAAAAAAAAAAAAAAATAACTTTATTCCCATCTCGTCGGTATAAGAATAAATCGCGAGGATGCTTTATTATGAAATCGGAAATTGGCGTCGATCTTCGGGCGAAGAGCGAGTCCCATCAATCGCTGTACCAAGCTCGTTACGCGAAACCGAATAGATTTTTGAATAAAAATAAAATTTGTAAAAAAAAAAATCCAAACGCGTTCTACGATTCCCATTCTCAAAGTCGACTTCGACCCCTGGACGGTCGAAAACCAAAAAAATACATTGTCCCTAAAAACGGACTCAATATTTTCACGCGAGTTATCCATATTCGATAACGCCAATAGAAATTCTGCCGCGAAGTTTGCAAGGTCTCGTAAACGAGAGAATAAAAAAAAAAAAAAAAACCTGCCCCCGGCCGTCCATGGGTGAGAAGCCAAAATCATATCCGGGGAATCGAGCGATTTGATGACTTAAGAAAATCTTGAGTGACGGTTTCCGTGAAAATAAGAAATAAATGAGGACGAAAGTGCCGTGGGGGGGGGGAGGAGTCCCCTCCCCGTCCACGGGTTAGACGTTAAGAAAAAGAAGAATAAAAAAGAGATCCCACAACTTTCTCCGTGAAACGAGCCGAGCAATTCGTTCCGGGGGAGACAATCGCGGAGCGAGGGACTCATCGTGCATCGATGATAAAACGAAGAAGCAAAAAAAGGTTGACGGGCCAAGATGAAAGACGAGAAAATAAATCGAAAAGGAAATCAAGGGAAAATTTTTGCGAAAAACGATGTGTATGGGCGTTGTAATGGATTACAATGACTTCCGGTGAGTGAATTCGAGCGAAAAGCGTCGATCGTCGCGTCCCGTAATGAGCAAAGTGACATTCGAGATACGAGGAGCCGCGTCGGGCACCAGAAGCTATCATGAGTTTTAATTGAACGGCGATTTCATTATCTGTCATCGTGCCCGTTACGCGATTGAACGACGTACGTAAGTACACGGAGACTTAATTTTGCCAGCTAGTGTAAGCGTACCCACGAGGAGCTCTCCCCGACCGTGAGTGATCGCGCTTCTTTATTTTCTACAATCGTTATCACTGCGCTCGCATATCGACAACCGATACGAATCCGAAATCTTCGATTTTGCTCGAAACATAAAAATACCGTAAGTGGCAGACACTTTAAATTTAAAAAAAAAAAAAAAAAAACAATCATCGACACGTTTCATTTTTTTTTACTATTTAGGTAATAATCTCCTCCCCTCAACCGTGAAAAAAAATACCAATGATAACTCACCCGCGTATCCAGAATTTGCATAATCTTATCCTTAGCCGTTCGCACGTCATCGGGTCGACCTGCGACCTTTATGTGTGGATCTGCAACATAAAAACGTGCAAAAGAGTTACCGTTTGTGGTTATCTGCAGACGAAATCTTCACTGATAACGTTATCGCCCATATCACCCGCACCCTCGAAATTTTCACTTCAAACACACCCGATACGCCTTTCCCACCGTTCGAAGTAAATCGATACGTTTCAGCATATGACTTTAGATTTGAGCAGCCTTGTCATTAGGGGGTGGTAGAGGGAGGATTATTGCACAAATCGTATTACATGACGTCCTCAATCGTCCATCCCATGTCGAATCGAGGCACAAGGCCTTAAATTCAAACAAAAGACGTAGGAAAGAAAAAGAAAAACAAGTCTTAGATCTCCCAATCGCGAGATATCGCAGACGAATTTTTCATTAGCGATTCAATCGGGTTAATCAAAACTCGTCGCCGCATACGTTAACCAATCGAGATTAATTTCTACATTAGATAACGTTAATCCTTGGTTGAATCGTCAATAACTAAGGTTGCTCAACGAATCTTGTCAATGAAGAAAAACAAATTCGTTTTCACCCCTCCCCCCTCCCCGCCCTTCGTCT